TGTGTGTGTGCGGGTGTGTCAGTGTGCGTTGGTGTGTGTGTGTGTGTGTGTGTGTGTCTGCGTGTGTGTGTGTCTCGTGTGTCCCTGTGCACATGTGTGTGTTTGTCCCTTCTTCTCGCGCTCTGTCTGTGTCTGCCCATGCGCCGGTCTGCGACTGTGCGCACGCGTGTGCGCATGTGTGTCGAGTCTATGTTTCCCCCCGGGACCGACCTGTTGCCCTTTATGCAGTCGACGCAGCCGCGTGTTTCCATGGAGTAGTGTTCGTGGCCTCTCTGTGGCTTCTTCTGCCTTCCGTTGCTCATCTTTCTGCTCCCTGCGATTTTTGTCTCGGGCCGGCTGGTGTTCTTTGTCGCAAGGTCTGATCTACTCTAAAAGCCCCTTTGCGGCTTGTCTGCTTCACCTTTCCCTTGGCGGGTTGGCTTCCTCAGCTTCCGTTTTGGTCGTTCTGCGCTGTTAGGATTGTTGCCCTCGGAGGCCCTAACCTTGGCTCACCTGCGCGTCTGGTTTCTTGGTTTGCCCGCAAAGACCCAACTTGGGGCCGGCTTGCTTGGTATTGTTTGTTCCGTTTTGTTTCCTACATCGCTCCGCGCGTGTGTCTGTGCGCGCCGAGTCCCTGATCTTTCCAGGGACCTTCCTGCTTGTTTGGAGCGACGCGACCGTGCTGTGCGTCTTGACATGGACTAGTGTCACCTACCTAGCCGCGACGGGGGTTTGTCGTGGACTAAGAGTAAGCGAGAGTGGAGACTGGCGGAGTCTGGTCAGCTTCTGTACACCGAAACATGAGCCGAATAGGAGCGCTTCTACCTCCGTAGGGGATTGAATGCTGTGTGTGTGTGCGCGTGTGTGTGTGTGCGCATGTGCGAGGTGCGAGTGTGTGGGTGTATGGATGTGTGTGTGGGTGTGTGTGTGGGGGTGGGGGTGGGTGGGTGTGGGTGGGTCGGTGTGGGGTGTGTATGTGTGTGTGTGTGGGTGCGTGCGTGTGCATGCGTGCGTGCGTGCGTGCGCGCGCGTGCCTGTGCATGCATGCGTGCGTGCGTTTGCGCGTGCGCGCTGGACTGCTGGTGCGCGCGCGCGTGCGCGTGCGTGTGCGCGTGCGCTTGCGGTTGCAAGGGCGTGGGCGCGGGCGTGTGCGTGCGCATGTGACTGCGCGTGCGCGTGTGCATGTACATGTGCGCGTGCGCGAGTGCGTGTGCGTGTGCGTGTGCGTGTGCGTGTGCGTGTGCGTGTGCGTGTGCGTGTGCGTGTGCGTGTGCGTGTGCGTGTGCGTGTGCGTGTGCGTGTGCGTGTGCGTTTGCGTGTGCGTGTGCGTGTGCGTGTGCGTGTGCGTGTGCGTGTGCGTGGGCTTGTGCGTGTGCGTGTGCGTGTGGGTGTGGGTGTGGGTGTGGGTGTGGGTGTGGGTGTGGGTGTGGGTGTGGGTGTGGGTGTGGGTGTGGGTGTGGGTGTGGGTGTGTGTGGGTGTGGGTGTGGGTGTGGGTGTGTGAGTGTGTGGGGTGTGGGGTGTGGTGTGTGTGTGTGTGTGTGTGTGTGTGTGTGTGTGTGTGTGTGTGTGTGTGTGTGTGTGTGGGTGTGTGCGTGTGTGCGTGTGTGCGTGTGTGCGTGTGTGCGTGTCTGCGTGTCTGCGTGTCTGCGTGTCTGCGTGTCTGCGTGTCTGCGTGTCTGCGTGTGTGCGTGTGTGCGTGTGTGCGTGTGTGCGTGTGTGCGTGTGTGCGTGTGTGCGTGTTTGCGTGTGTGCGTGTGTGCGTGTGTGCGTGTGTGCGTGTGTGCGTGTGTGCGTGTGGGCGTGTGGGCGTGTGGGCGTGTGGGCGTGTGGGCGTGTGGGCGTGTGGGCGTGGGGGCGTGTGTGTGTGTGTGTGTGGGTGCGTGCGTGCGTGCGTGCGTGCGTGCGTGCGTGCGTGCGTGCGTGCGTGCGTGGGCGGGCGGGCGGGCGGGCGGGCGGGCGGGCGGGTGGGTGGGTGGGTGGGTGTCTGTCTGTGTGTGTGTGTGTGTGTGTGTGTGTGTGTGTCTGTGTCTGTGTCTGTGTCTGTGTCTGTGTCTGTGTCTGTGTCTGTGTCTGTGTCTGTGTCTGTGTCTGTGTCTGTGTCTGTGTCTGTGTCTGTGTCTGTGTCTGTGTCTGTGTCTGTGTGTGTGTGTCTGTGTCTGTGTCTGTGTCTGTGTCTGTGTCTGTGTCTGTGTCTGTCTCTGTGTCTGTGTCTGTGTCTGTGTCTGTGTCTGTGTGTCTGTGTCTGTGTGTCTGTGTCTGTGTCCGCGTCTATGTCTGTGTCCGTGTCTGTGTCTGTGTTGGGGTCTGCGTCTGCGTCTTCACGTGCGTCTGCGTCTGCGTCTGCGTCTGCGTCTGCGTCTGTGTCTGCGTCTGTGTCTGTGTCTGTGTGTGCGCGTTTGCGCGTTTGCGCGCGAGCACAAATGTGTGTGTGTGTGCACGAATCAAGAAACCGCTCGGAGCTTTGCGATGCGCAAACCACTTATGTTGCACCTCCAACCTGCCCCGCGCCCATGCAGAGATGCCTTCATGTTGTATTCGTTGGCCACTTTGTCCAGGTTGTCTTTGTGCGCCTTGTCGTGCGCGGCAACATGTGCACCAAAATGGCGCAGCATCTTGGCAGAACAATCACAGATCTTTACACACAACACGGGTACATCATCCGCTCCAGCGGGGGCAAGTTTGAAGTTTTCGGTGTCACGCGGATCCTCACATCTGCTACGCTGCAACGCTGTTGTTTCCTGCTTTGTGTGCCGACTTGAAGCCGCATCTGGCTGGAACTAACAGATCTAGCAAGTCTAGCAATTGCAAATCTAACAAGATCTGAGATTCAGACCCACCGAATGTACCTCCAGATTCCAAGGCACTAAAAAACCCACATGGCTCCACGCTCGCATTGCTAAGACCACAGCCGCCCAAATGATGGACCTTGCAACCTTCCTTTGCTTTGCCCTGCTAAGACAAGTGCATAACAGGACCCATCGTCTTGGCCTGTCACTCCACTGAAACTGTCTTGCAAAAGGCTGAAGGTGAGCAAGCCGCGGCCGTGTTCTGAGGCTCACATTGGATGATGCACGGAGAGGAGGTGATGCGTTGCTTCAGCCTTCTTTGCTGCCTGCGGTCATGCAGCCATGCTGAGCCAAGCTGCGCGCTGCCCACAGCAGTGACAGCTTCCCTTTTCAAAGTGAGGGCTGATTGCTTCAGCCGTAGTGCGCCACAATGTCTCAAGACTTGAGCTTTTGCTGCAACCACTCCTGCCTTTTGGTACTCGTCAAAGCTGCTCCCAGAGAAGAAGCCCTCATTGTCGAAGATGACGATACCACCCTGCGCCTGACTGTTGGCTAATGTTGGCTACATCCAAAGAAGCGCGTGTCACACACACAAGACGCCACGCGCCATGTGCTACGCGCCTTGCTGTCTTTGGCGTCATCGCACCAGAAGTCGCCTATGGAGCACCAATCAGACAGCTGAGTCAAGCAGCCACTGTCCACCTTCAAGTTGGGATTTGCTCTAAAAGTCTGCTGTTGAGAATACGCTGCTCTGCAGACATAAACGCTCTCCGTCACTCTTGTGTGTCTTGCGCCTTGTGAGCAGCAGCTGACGCCCACGGCCCAGTACTGCAAAGAAGCAGTAGCAAAGGGCTGGAAAAAAGAAGGACAGGACTCGGCACCTTTGCTTGGGCAACTCTTGCGCCTTGTTCCCGCAGCCTGCCTTACACCTTCCCTACTTCACTGCCCTGCGCAGGAACGTTCCTTCTCATTGCCAGCTGGTACCCCTCTTCCATTTCTATTTCTTCGTCAGCCTTGACTCTGATTTCTCCAAAAGTGATGCATTCCCAGCTTCCGGCTGCTTGGCAACAAGTCGCTAGTCTTCGGGAGATTCAATCAATGAAAAATCCATGAGGGTGAAGCTGCAAGAAGGGCTGTGTCCAAACGGCATGGACGCTGACCTCTCCTATGAGTAGTGTCCCTATAACTATATGGCTATGAATTTTTTTAGGGGTCTGTAACGCGCGACGCGCCACGAATCTTGTTACGGAGGTCTGTAACGGAGGTCCTTGTTACGCAGGTCTGTAACGGGACAAACATTTCATGACAAGCAGTATCCGTAGCACAATGTAGCGCAGCACAACGAGGTATGTAATGGCTATGTAACGCGGTTTGTAACGAGGCAAAGCAAAGTGCAGGACGCAAAGCGCGCCTCCGCAGCTCCAGCTTGATTGCAGCTACTCAACGCAAGCCAAGCTGCGGCAAAAAGCGGGGTCGCTGGCCCGGGCTGGGGGTTGGGAACGAGGTCTGTAACAAGGCAAAGCGAAGCGCAGTACGCAAAGCGCGCCTCCGCAGCACCAGCTTGCTTGCAGCTATTCAACGCAAGCCAAGCTGTGGCAAAAAGGGGGTCGCTGGCCCGGGCTGGGGTTGGGTCTGTAACGAGGTATGTAACGGCTATGTAACGATGTCTGTAACGAGGCAAAGCAAAGCGCAGCACGCAAAGCACGCCTCCGCAGCTCTATTCAACGCAAGCCAAGCTGCGGCAAAAAGGGGGTCGCGGGCCCGGGCTGGGAATGGCTATGTAACGAGGTCTGTAACGGCTATGTAACGAGGTCTGTAACGAGGCAAAGCAAAGTGCAGCACTCAAAGCACGCCTCCGCAGCTCTATTCAACGCAAGCCAAGCTGCGGCCAAAAGCGGGGTCGCTGGCCCGGGCTGGGGTTGGGTCTGTAACGAGGTATGTAACGGCTATGTAACGAGGTCTGTGAAGAGGCAAAGCAAAGCACTTGATTGCAGCTATTCAGCGCAAGCCAAGCTGCGGCAAACACAGGGCAGTCACGTCACTGGCCCGGTTTGTTCAGCTGAGGTGTGTAACGAGGGCGTGTAACGAGGGTGTGTAACGAGGGTGTGTAACGAGGGGTGTGTAACGAGCCAGCTGGTTTTGTTACAGAGGTCTGTAACGAGGTCTGCAACGAATGTCCGCCGCGGCTCTGTTACAGACCCCTCAAAAAAATTCACTGCCATATGTTGCTCCAGGACGACTCTTAGCCCCAAAGTCAAACTACAATCTCGGGAGCCTCCTACAAAAACCTTTCTAAATACATGGAACTCCGTCTACTGCTCGAGCTCGATCTACTGCCCCCGTAATACTAATAGCTGGTTTTCGGGGTACATCTGGACGCGCGAAGGCTCGGAAGGCGGAAGCTTCGTCTCCTGCATCTGGCGGATGTCATGAAGATCCCGAACTGGAGCTGCGCCTAGGACTTTGTCACAAGTGACATTGCGAACTGGAGCTGGCCTGACAACGGCGAATAGCAACAATCTACCCGTCTACCCGTCTACCCCTTCAATTCCACGGTCCTTCCTCGTCTCCACCACCATGGATTGGAATTCGTAAACGCCACGGTTGCACACCCGCTTGGCTTTGCCACGTTGCACTTTGCGGCCAACAAATTCTGCACTCACCCATTGCAAGTTTTGAAGTGTACCCTGCATGGAGGTATTCGACGCGAATGAACTCGCAACTGAGCTGGTCTACGCACAAAATGACCAGATATGCAATTCACTAAATCAAGTGTCACCTTGGGCCGCCGCAAAAGATGGAACCACCTAGGGTCGAGGAGCAAAACAGACCGACAAGGTCAACGTCCCACCGCCGTCCGATGCGCACACAAAAACAGCACAGTCTCACCCAAAGCGCTGAAAACACAAGATACAGAAAACCAGAGAACACACAAACAAACAAACAGTCGCACGGTTTTGAGGTTTCCACGGGACGGCTTGGAGCGGCCCCAGTGGTACCTGAACAAACAAAAGTGGTTCTGGTTGCAACTATGCAGACATACCGAAACGACACACAAACAAACGCAAACAAACACACAAACAGTGGGACGAAAACCCCGTGGCAAGTACCACGCGGCACAAACACAAGACATATGTACGTAGAAATATGAGAGAGAAACATATGGTGAATATAAATATGCATAGGGCGAGATAGAGCGCGCGCAATGCAGTCACACAAAACATCCAACGCGTGTTCAATTGCGCATCCTGCGTCTCATTGCAAGTACCCCCGCAGCCAAGTACACCGACCCTGGCTCGAGCATTTTAGCATTCATTCGGCTCCAAAAGCTGCACAGAGAGAGAGAGAGATAAAGAGAGAAAAAGAGAGAGAGAAAAAGAGAGAGAGAGAGAAAAAGAGAGAGAGAGAGAGAGAGAGAGAGAAAAAAAGAGAGAGAGAAAAAAAAGAGAGAGAAAAAGAGAGAGAGAGAGAGAGAAAAAAATAGAGAGAGAAAAAAAAGAGAGTGAGAGAGAGAGAAAAAGAGAGAAAAAGAGAGAGAGAGAGAGACAAAAAAAGAGATAGAGAGAGAGAAGAAAAAAGAGAGAAAAAGAGAGAGAGAGAGAGAGAGAGAGAAAGAGAAAGAGAGAGAGAGAGAGTGAACAAAGCCCGCGGCGCTCTGTGACATAGGCGGCGGATTGATTGATGTCCACCTGCCATGGAATCGCAACTCCTGAAGTCGGAAAACACAGCAAAACACATGCCGGCCAAGCAAAGGAAGATGGGGTAAAAATGAGCTTCCCGGCATCTCCAACCTTGAAGGCTCAGGCTTCACGCAAGACACCGCCAACGGCATCATGAGGGAACATTCTGCCTGGACCCAGCTGCTCAAACACCGGTACCACAACTGAACAGCTAACCAACACATCAGTCGAAAACATGGAGATTCAATGTTGGGTCAACTGAGATCTTGGCTGAGCCACTGGGAAGGGAAGGCTGCACATCTGTGTACAGCCTGCGCACTTCCAAAAGCAATGGTGCAAAAATGCAAGTTGCATCAACACTGGCCTGGCGTTGCTGTAGAAATGGGGATAGATAGCATACCTGATGCAAGCAAAGCTCAGCCCGGCAAGCGGTGCGAGTGGGTGGGTGGGTGGGTGGGTGGGCGGGTGGGTGGGTGGGTGTGTGTGTGTTTGTGTGTTTGTGTGTGTGTGTGCGTGTGTGTGTTTGCATGTTTGTGTGTTTGTGCGTTTGTGTGTTTGTGTGCTTCTTGTGTGCTTCTTGTGTGCTTCTTGTGTGCTTCTTGTGTGCTTCTTGTGTGCTTCTTGTGCGCTTCTTGTGTGCTTCTTGTGTGCTTCTTGTGTGCTTCTTGTGTGCTTCTTGTGTGCTTCTTGTGTGCTTCTTGTGTGCTTCTTGTGTGCTTCTTGTGTGCTTCTTGTGTGCTTCTTGTGCGCTTCTTGTGCGCTTCTTGTGTGCTTCTTGTGTGCTTCTTGTGTGCTTCTTGTGTGCTTCTTGTGTGCTTCTTGTGGGCTTCTTGTGCGCTTCTTGTGCGCTTCTTGTGGGCTTCTTGTGTGCTTCTTGTGCGCTTCTTGTGTGCTGCTTGTGTGCTGCTTGTGTGCTGCTTGTGTGCTGCTTGTGCGCTGCTTGTGTGCTGCTTGTGTGCTGCTTGCGCGCTGCTTGTGTGTTGCTTGTGCGCTGCTTGTGTGCCGCTTGTGTGCTGCTTGTGCGCTGCTTGTGTGCTGCTTGTGTGCTGCTAGTGTGCTGCTTGTGTGCTGCTTGTGTGCTGCTTGTGTGCTGCTTGCGTGCTGCTTGTGTGCTGCTTGTGTGCTGCTTGTGTGCTGCTTGTGTGCTGCTTGTGTGCTGCTTGTATGCTGCTTGTGTGCTGCTTGTGTGCTGCTTGTGTGCTGCTTAGTGTGCTGCTTGTGCGCTGCTTGTGCGCTGCTTGTGTGCTGCTTGTGTGCTGCTTGTGTGCTGCTTGTGTGCTGCTTGTGTGCTGCTTGTGTGCTGCTTGTGTGCTGCTTGTGTGCTGCTTGTGTGCTGCTCTTGTGTGCTGCTCTTGTGTGCTGCTCTTGTGTGCTGCTCTTGTGTGCTGCTCTTGTGTGCTGCTCTTGTGTGCTGGTCTTGTGCGCTGCTCTTGTGTGCTGGTCTTGTGTGCTGGTCTTGTGCGCTGCTTGTGTGCTGCTTGTGTGCTGCTTGTGTGCTGCTTGTGTGCTGCTTGTGTACTGCTCTTGTGCGCTGCTCTTGTGTGCTGCTCTTGTGCGCTGCTCTTGTGTGCTGCTCTTGTGCGCTGCTCTTGTGCGCTGCTCTGGTGCGCTGCTCTTGTGTGCTGGTCTTGTGTGCTGTTCTTGTGCTGCTTGTGTGCTTTTGTGCGCTGCTTGTGTGCTGCTTGTGTGCTGCTTGTGTGCTGCTTGTGTGCTGCTCTTGTGTGCTGCTCTTGTGTGCTGCTCTTGTGTGCTGCTCTTGTGTGCTGCTCTTGTGCGCTGCTCTTGTGCGCTGCTCTTGTGTGCTGGTCTTGTGTGCTGGTCTTGTGCGCTGGTCTTGTGCGCTGCTTGTGCGCTGCTTGTGTGCTGCTTGCGTGCTGCTTGTGTGCTGCTTGTGTGCTGCTTGTGTGCTGCTTGTGTGCTGCTTGTGTGCTGCTTGTGTGCTTTTGTGTTATTTTGTGTTCTTTTGTGCTCTTTTGTGTTCTTTTGTGTTCGTTTGTGTTCGTTTGTGTTCGTTTGTGTTCGTTTGTGTTCGTGTGTTCGTTTGTGTTCGTTTGTGTTCGTTTGTGTTCGTTTGTGTTCGTTTGTGTTCGTTTGTGTTCGTTTGTGTTCGTTTGTGTGTTTGTGTGTTTGTGTGTTTGTGTGTTTGTGTGTTTGTGTGTTTGTGTGTGTTTGTGTGTGTTTGTGTGTGTTTGTGTGTGTGTTTGTGTGTGTGTTTGTGTGTGTTTGTGTGTGTTTGTGTGTGTTTGTGTGTGTTTGTGTGTGTTTGTGTGTGTTTGTGTGTGTTTGTGTGTGTTTGTGTGTGTTTGTGTGTGTTTGTGTGTGTTTGTGTGTGTTTGTGTGTGTTGTGTGTGTGTGTTGTGTGTGTTTGTGTGTGTTTGTGTGTGTTTGTGTGTGTTTGTGTGTGTTTGTGTGTGTTTGTGTGTGTTTGTGTGTGTTTGTGTGTGTTAGTGTGTGTTGTGTGTGTTTGTGTGTGTTGTGTGTGTTTGTGTGTGTTTTTGTGTGTTTGTGTGTGTTTGTGTGTGTTTGTGTGTGTTTGTGTGTGTTTGTGTGTGTTTGTGTGTGTTTGTGTGTGTTTGTGTGTGTTTGTGTGTGTTTGTGTGTGTTTGTGAGTGTTTGTGTGTGTGTGTTTGTGTGTGTTTGTGTGTGGTTGTGTGTGTTTGTGTGTGTTTGTGTGTGTGTGTGTGTGTTTGTGTGTGTTTGTGTGTGTTTGTGTGTGTTTGTGTGTGTTGGTGTGTGTTTGTGTGTGTTTGTGTGTGTTTGTGTGTGTTTGTGTGTGTTTGTGTGTGTTTGTGTGTGTTTGTGTGTGTTTGTGTGTGTTTGTGTGTGTGTTTGTGTGTGTTTGTGTGTGTTTGTGTGTGTTTGTGTGTGTTTGTGTGTTTGTGTGTGTTTGTGTGTGTTTGTGTGTGTTTGTGTGTGTTTGTGTGTGTTTGTGTGTGTTTGTGTGTGTTTGTGTGTGTTTGTGTGTGTTCGTGTGTGTTTGTGTGTGTTTGTGTGTGTTTGTGTGTGTTTGTGTGTGTTTGCGCGTGCGTGTGCGTGCGGGTGCTGCGCGTGCGCGTGCGCGTGCGCGTGCGCGTTGCGCGTGCGCGTGCGGTGTGCGCTGTTGCATGTGCGCGTGCGCGTGCGGTGTGCGTGTGTGGGTGTGTGGGTGTGTGGGTGTGTGGGTGTGTGGGTGTGTGGGTGTGTGGGTGTGTGGGTGTGTGGGTGTGTGGGTGTGTGGGTGTGTGGGTGTGTGGTGTGTGGTGTGGGTGTGGGTGTGGGTGTGGGTGTGGGTGTGGGTGTGCGCGTGCGCGTGCGCGTGCGCGTGCACGCGGGCGTGCGGGCGGGCGTGCTGCTTAAAGAGGCCACTTGGTTAGTATCTGCTTAGAGCAGATGTGCCAACATAATATGTTGTCCAAATAAGGTGATATGTTTTGCAAGTAAGGTTATATTTGCGACAAGCGTGCCAAAAAGGCTCATGTAGATAGCAAGTGTAAAGTCGTGTGTATACAACTTGCTATATAGCTGCAACACTTGCTACGCACATATATGTAGTGTCAAGCAAGTGCTCTATGTACATACGGAACTTACACATGTGTACTTATGGAACATAGTCAACTAATATAAGTGCACATGCATGTGAAGAAATGAAGCGCGGCTGCGGCGTGATGCGATGCACATTTGGTCTCAGCCAGCGCCTGATGCCATGCAGGGTTTGCTTGCAGCACGAATGCCACCGAGTTTTGCAAGGCGTTGGCAGGGTCATTCTCGCTGACAGCCTTTGCTTGAAAGCATGCATTGTTGCTTCACAAGACTGCTCAAGCAATTGTGCGTGTTTGTTTTGTCCTTGCCTCCTGCATGCAAATGGCGGGCGTGCCGCTGGACGTGCAGGAGCATGTCTCCAAGCTTCTTGCGGAAGCATCAGATGGAGATAGGTTGGTGGCCACAGTGCACAAGGTGCTCGCCTTCTTAGAGAGCCGCGACCTTGTCTACCATGTGAAGCTTGCGCCTGACCTGGTGGGGGTTCACCCGTCCAATAGGGACGGGTATGGTCTCAACTCCATTGACGTCTACGACTTGCTCGACAGCATTGTCGGCGTAGGGTTCATTTCTGAGAAAGTGAACGCAGTGGCTTGCGAAGTCGAGGGCGACACCGTCCGAGCTTGGAATCAGAAGCTTGTGGCAAGCTCAAATGGCGCTCTGGGAAGGTTGGAGCCAAACAAGCTCAAGGCGGTCACCCTGTGTGGGTCCCACACAAACTTTGCATTGCGTGTGTGCAAAGATGAGCTTCCGCACAACAATGACCTGATCTGTGTGGATGGCCGAATCTCCTTAGCCAAGATCAAGGCCAGGGACTCCAAGCTGTATGAGGCCGTCACAGACGGAGTCACATGGCGGGTGTTGGCAAAGGAAGTGGCCGCAAGTTTCCCAAATTTCCTGCAGATGCTGCAACAATATGGCAACGCATCGTTGCAACGTGGAGAGCATGAGCTTCAGGTCCTGCGGCGGATCCATGGCCTCTATACCCAGGCTGCTGCGGCTGGCAGACCAGATTTTGCCGCCATCAAGAAGAAGGCCTTGGCATCCAAGCCAGCCTGCGCCCACTCAGTCCCCGCAATGTACCAATTTGCGCTCAAAGCGTGCGGGGGCTCTGATGGCGCGATGCTTGCAGACACCGAGCAGTTTGTCAGGCAGCAGTGCGCCAGCAACAGGCAGCTTGGCACTGAGCTTTGGGAGATCCTGGGGCAGGACGGCAAGGGCAAGCTTGCAGGGCATGCGTTGGCGCGTTTCCGGCATGCCATCATCAAGCTGGCCTACGCCCGGCAGTGCGTAACCAAGGAGACTGCCAAGCCAAGCACTTTGGCGACGAGGACCCGCGTTTGTTTTTGGCCCTCAGCTTCACTGACATGGCATTGGCAGCGCACGTGCTCAACATCAAGCTCAACAATGAGAAGAAGTACGAGTCCATGGGTGCCATTGCTCACGACTATGTTTTGATTCTCCGCAGTGTGACGGGGCAAGAGGTGAGCAGCCGATGGCACGCGCAAGCGCAGCATCATGAGGAGCCGTCCCCAGCAAACACGGGGGCCCGGCCCATGATGATGCGAGAGCTCCAGGAGGACGGATCTTTTAAAGACCCGGCTTCCATGTTGAGCGAGCTTGGCTTTGAGGTTGGAGGGCATGTGCGGCGTAAGTCCGACAGGGTTGAGGGAAAGATCAACGAGGTTCTGCACAATGCCAACAAGGTGAAGATTGAGGTCGATGGCAACATGTTCAAAGTGCCCCTCGCGTCTTCCTTGTCAGGTGAATGGCAGACATTTGAGCCCAAGGCCGCAGCCGAGGCAGTCTGCTTTGACAGCATGCCCAGCAAGTCTTTGGGCTTTCGTGCTGCTGCCAAGGCAGCGTCCATCCTCCTTGCGCTCC